AAAACGGCCAAGTGTCAAAACTTATCAAGAGAAAGTGGAAATACCATTAACTTGAGTAGTCACATAAATCACAATTACCCGACTTTGACTGTAGGTGAACTACCTAAGGATTCAGGTTCATTTTGCATCTTCTACAAATCTGCGCAAACTCAGGATTTCGCCACTTTGTTAGCGCTCTGGATTCTTGCTTCAAATCGCCTTCTCGTACAACCTTAAGAATCGTTTGTATGGTGAATCTCTATAGTGGTATGAAAGCAAAGATACTACGTCAGCAAAGAAAATATTGAATGAAACGTGACACTCTGCTGAAAAAACTTCGAGCTCATGACGAGATGAGCTTTTAGAATGGAAAATTTTCCACAAAGTGGCTGCAATGTTTACTGGCAATGCTAAAAGTATAACAAAAGCATGTGAAATCCTGTAAAAGATGATTGTTCCACACTTCAGCACAAGTGTCTCCAATAATAACCGTTATTTGCCGACTCCTCCAAGGTCTTAAGGGCAACTTAAATACTGAAAAAGGCAAAAGGGACTGTAACTTTGCTTGGGTTTCAGAAACTGAGAAAATTTTGACTCCTTCTGCAAGCCTTCCAATACCTAAGTCCAATCAAAAGCAGCCTTTTTTCGAATTTAAAAAGTAAAACAAAGCATGCCTTCGGCATTGCTTTAACTTCAATAATTTGGAGCCAATCTTAAACTCATTGGACAACTTGAAGGTAATACGAAAAATGTTGATTTTGAGAAAGTTTTATTTAACACTTTTTTATAGGTCTCGATTGATCTCTAGAAGAGAGTGGATGTTTAGCAAGGCAGGACTCCTTATCAGCGGGCGAAGACTTATGACTGTATTAGCTTTTTGATCTTTAAGGATTCGTATGTTCTGCAGGAACAAATTTTTTGTACTTTGTTGCTCTGTGAATAAATTTAATTTATTTTTTTTTAACGTCTGGCCGCTTTCAAAGACCTGGAAACAAATTTAAAGTCATCTTCGATTCATAGAAGATTCCCCCAAAGAACATACAGAAATCGAAGTACGCAAACATCCATTTTTCTCGAGCTCTGGTATAAATACATAGACAAGATTAGGCGCTAAGTATGTATGTATTTATAAAAAAAAATAAGTTTTTTAAGATGCCGCAACTAGAAGGTGGCTGCTGATCAATATCCGCATTCGAAGAATACATTATTTAAGAAAAATAGTAAAAATTGATACATCGATGCAGTAAAAGTGGCTTTGAGAATGCTTAAGTAAAAGTGACAGTAACCTAATATTTTAATAATTTTCACATTTTCATTTTATATTTTTAAATTATAATACAAGAAAAAGGTTCTTGATTAAAGGATATTTTATTTGAATATTTCAACAATTATGCACGTCATACAAGGAAGGCCTCTTCCATAAAAATTAACTGTAATCTTTGATGCAAACATTTTTAGATTCATGTTGATGTTGACCAAAACGCCGAAAGGGTGGCAGCCCTTGGCCGCATAAAACCTCTTTAAGATACTGTAGCAGGTTAACTCTTGCCTATCTAGACTCGAATCCAGCATACCCAACGTATGCCCTGCATGTGGAGAGTCTCCGCACGACACTAACCACCTCTTCACATGCCCCCTTAAGGCGACACATTTAGCTCTCCTCCCTTCTGGTCACAACGACCTAGACGACTTAAATTGATTAAGCCTATCCAACAACAACAACAAACATTTGCTGTAATCCGGCTGCAGTTCACGTTTTTTACACTTACTGTAAAAATGTCACAGGGATGTATAAAGATTTCAAAATTATGATTCATAAACTAACAATCCCATTAATTTATACGTTGAAAATCAGTGATATACCTACAAGTTTTAATCTATAATAATTAAATATTTCATTGAAAATGTTAAGAACTCACTTGAACCTATAAACGTCTTGCTACACGAGTTTGCATGTATGTTTGTATGTATGCATATGGTTACCGTGTCGGTCATCGCACTACAATTAATTAATTTATTTTTTATATTTCACACCCTACGTAATTTTATCGATCTCTGTTATGGATGAATAAGTACAAATTTTAATTACTTTAACTTAAGAATATACATTCGTATGTACATATATACGTAAGTAATCAATAATCAAGTCACATTTTGTGAAATCTTCACAGTTCTCTACACTTAAAATGCAAATAGAGAACTGGTGAATATAAAATGCAATGGAAGTAATTATATGTGCAAAGCAACCAGAGAAACCCAACCAAATTAATCCAACAAAAATGTCATAAATATTGGCATACCATTAAGTTAAAAGCTTCATCCTAAGAAAATGATTTTGTTATTATTTTTCGGAATCTTTAACCTGATGGGTGTCAAGTCCACCGAGAAGGGTGCAAAAAATTATAAATTAAATGCATATGTGTTTTTCACAAAAGCCTGTACACATTATACATGTATGTATGTGCATATACGCTTGCAACTCTTCTTCTACTAGAGTGCACTAAACCGGCGTACATAAATACATATGTATATGCACATACATATGCATTGAAGTATTAATTTCATAATTTTGTTTTGAATATAAAAATTAAAAAAATTATGTATGCAAATTACGGTTAATCAACTGCCACCCATTTTTTGCTTTATTACCAAAAGATGTACCCACGCAACGATGTGTTGACCACACAGCAGGAAAATAATAAATCAACCTAAAATTGAAGCGATGCTTATTTATGTATGCACATATACTACACACCTCTATAAATGGCATAACAAATAAGGAGAAGGACACATTAATCAACACTCAAACGAACTCTTGGCAAGGCATTACCCTTCTGTGACTCACCGCAATTGGGTCAAATACTTGGAACACCCTGAGCAGTCACTCATTCATATTGTACATATGCAAATATGAGTGGTTTTTCGTGCATATTGTGCACGAGTGTAGGGATGATTTTCGTTAAAAAATTATACTTTAAAAGAAAAAAAAAGAGAAAATTAGAAAAATGTTGAAAGAACGGGAGGCTCAACATAAACTCTAAATCTAACTGAACTAATTAGCTGACTTTAGCGGTATAAATTTTTATGTGCCCATTTCTTTTCCTTCTGATGCGTAATATATATGTATCTATGGACCATAGTTATAATGTACTTTCATTACCGTAAACCATATTCATCAAAGGTATTATTAGTATAACTTCATATGCACAATAAATATATTTATTCACACTCAATTTCATTCTATATTTGATTAAAAGGAGAAGATGAGTTCTGCTAACCAATCAGCTCATACGCACTGTGTCTTTATTAGATATGTACAAGTATACTGGTACGCCCCCTGTGGGAAAGAAGTACTTTCGATTCAGAAATAGAAATAAAGAAATTTTTTTTACAAATATTTAACGATGTTCCTTTTCGAAGTAAAGTTCTAAACTGCTTCACTCATCGAGGTCATCTGGCTAAAGCAATGCAATGTTATATTTCGATAGATTCTGACATCGCAAAGATGTGTGTTAGATGAGTTGGTATTTTCTTTTAGACAGACCTAAAGATTTTCAATATTTATTTTGTAACTGGCGCATTCTAAACGATGAAGCAATTTTCGGTCAAGCTCTTCTTACTATTTGTGGCATGTGTCTTGATGTTTTTCAAACAAATGGAAGGTTTACCCACCTCTTCAAAGTGACTGGGAAAGTGGATGCTCCTTTGTTAGTCTTTTCGGTGTTTCTCAAGTTCATGGCGTTCCCTACAGGACTCGAACCCTGGTTTTCCGAATGCTAGTACTCATATTTGCTAATTATATAAAAAAAAAACTTGCATTAAATCCAAATAACAATTTTGAAGCAACTGAAATTCCATACCTTTATGTGGAATCAGTTTTCAGAACTTGACAAATTCATCCTTAAAAACTTCACACAAACAATAAAAATTATATTATCAATTTTTATTTCATTGTTTAGAGGTGTCATAACCATACCATACCATAAGAGCTTCCGATTAATGGTGCCGAACTAGAGTTTTCACTAACACAGAATAATGGTTGCTTCGTTCCTTCTTTTAAATATTTTCCTTTTACGTTTTTGCTGCTACTACTATTATTTTTATATTTTTGATTTTTATTTACAAAAGAAAGTCGTATTTGTAGATAAAATTAACCTTTAATGCACTCATCACGCTTGATAGGGCTTTTACGGAGAAAAGGAAGTTGTCGGGGAAACTTTAGTACAGAGCCTGTGGCCTGTGTTTCTTTTGATTCAAATTTCTGAGCTTTTAGTTGTTATCGCATACAAATACATATATAAAATAGTTTATAGTTATTAGCATAGAAAGTTAGACTTTTACCTATAGGGAATCTTCCTATATTTTACTAATAAACACACTAAAAACATTTTGCTGAGTAGGCGTAGGAATATATTTGTAATAATAATTGTGTATAAACATTTATTTAAAGGTTTAATAAAAATAATTGTGATTCACTTAGAAGTACTAGGACCTATGCACTATATATTTGCGCACACCAAAGTCAACCCAAGGCTTACTCTTTTGTAAGGGCAGTGTTTTCCTGTTTTAAAATTAACACCAATCCCTTACCTACATGGCATATTAAGTCGCATATTTATTTCGACACATTTACATAGATATATCTATGTATTTATATATGTAGATATCAGCTCATATATGTACATACGTGTAAGTATGCATAAATATGAATGTAAATGCGTGTGTGACTGAGCGACAACGACGTCGAAGGATAAGTCAAAAGCGCGACAACATGGCGCCAAGACAGCAATTACATATACAGATAAACATGAATACTTTAAGGGCAGGAATACGCAGAAACCCGCGTCATTCATAGAGGAAAGGTGGGTGAAATAAAATAAAAATACAAAAAAAAGCACAATCCACAACCGGTCAGACATTCGCGCAATGGGGTTCAATAAACTCACTCATGCATTATTGTTGTGGCAATTATGACTCGATTTGTCGTTGGTGGTTGGATCATAACAGGAATTCGTACTTACCACAGTGTCCTCCGAAACAGCTGATTTGTCACTGCCGACGCGTTGATGACGTCGTACCGCGCCATCCACCGACGCGAAAAGCTCAACAACAATTAAGGACAACACAATTATGCAGGACATTACACTGACTATATTTCGAGACATTGTTGTTATTATATTAACACACCTGATATTTGTTGACACAAAAGAAGCGTGCGATATCAAGAACTGATAAATATATTAACTTATTTGTAATAATTGACACTTAATACATATGTATGTGTGTATGTATAAAATATTTATTTAAAATGGATGTATTTATTTATATATACCAACATATATATATCTAGGCAAAAATATTAATTATGCCATATATTTTTTTCAATTGTGTTTCAATAGAGAATTTTTTGGTTGGTTGTCATTTATGATTATTAATTTTTCTGCAACCACACGCGCCGGAGAGTTTCGAAATATTTATTTCGCTTTTTAATATTGCTGCTGTTGAAGCTATTCAAACAAAGAAAAGCACGTCGCTTATATGTATACACTATATGTATACATACAGTCACATAAATAGGTAAGTATGCGACTTTTGTTGAATGTGCACAGAATTTACTCACTCATAAAATTTGTTTAGATTTTCTTTGAACGAGTATAATTGAGTGAATGTTGTGTTGTTTACTATGAGCACAATGGTTTTGATTTAATTTTCTTTTTTTCTAATATTTTTTTGATTGAACTTCGTTAAAAAACATATAGTTTAGCACTTTTTATATAAATATTTCCTTATTTGATTTTTAGGCCATTTGCTAAAAAAAATTGTAACCTTTAACTTTTGACTGACTATGTTGTGCGAACCGCAAATCTTAGCCGGTTGCAACTGTGACACCAAAGAATTAACACATGCGCAATGTCGCACACCGGAAATGGGGAAAATGAAAGAGCGGAAAGTGAAGGATTTGCAACTAACGGTGCGGCAACCGTTGTTGTCGTTTTTGATTTTTGATTTTTTATTTATTCTTTTTCACTTTTATTTCTTTGTTATGCTCGTATTCTTTGTTGTTTAGTTTTTCGCCAAACGCGTTGCCAATACAAACGTGTATGTACATTGGGGGCCTGCTTTGTATGCTTTCAACTCAGTTCATTTTCTAATGCACTCAAGCAAGAGCTGCCAGTCTATTTAGGTCGTTGTTGTGAACCGATAACGCACAGAAATTAGCATGTTATTTTAGGCTCATTCACTTTGCTATGTACACATTTATGTATGCATGCAGACGTGTGTTGCACCCGAGAATTAGTTGCAATAATAACTTATGTGGCATATGGATGTATGTATACAGTACACTGAAATTTGGAAACAGGCGAAGGAATTATCAATTTGTTTCTGCCGCCAAAACAAACAGTTGAGATAATTTCGATTTTGATTTGATTGTCGTTGATTTCGTTTTTTATATTAATTTGTTATTTATATTTATATGTATGTATGTATGGAGTGCCTAAAAGCAATTATTATAGCAGCGCGATATGCGAAAATCAACGTCTGCCAAGGCACAACACCACGCGCCGTGCGTATAATTCGAAACTGAAAACTTTCTTTACTGCACATTAATTCCAGCCCGAGAACTACTCTCCGGCACCCATTCAAACGATTCAAACGCCCGCACTCAGCAACTCCGCTCGCGTGTAGCAAATGAACAAAAATAAAACATTTGTTCTCGCATGGAGGAATATGCACACATATGCACGTGTGTTTGTTGTAACTTATGTATGGGCGATGCACATATTAAACAAATACAAAAAATACAAAACGAATGCGATAGCAGAAAACAAAACAAAACATATCAAATGAAAACTACTTAAACAAGCTCACCGCGCACGCAACTGAACTCACTACACAGCCGACGAGAGAAATCCTCTCAGCAAATATTTATTGTAGTACGAGAATGCGTAATCCACTCGCCAATGCTGTTCGTTATTATTACGGCTCTCGATCGTTCATCATTCGAGATCAGCACGCTTGATGGCAGATATGAAAACAAAATACAAAGCAATAAGCCTGTACTCCAGGGCTATTTTGTAACTTTGTAAATACTGAAGTGCTCAAAACTGGGAGAGTAGCCGCTTTTTGGAAGCAAAACTGGTCGCCAGAAAATATTCTCACTTTCATTCGCTCTCTTTAGCGTTTTGTGAGTAATAATATTGTCTCTATATATATGCATATTTATACGTGCATACATATGTATAGTGATTGTTGTCACAATAATTTGTTAGTCATTATTACTTCCACAATTTGAAGTAACCCAATTTTCAGAGAAACACAAAATTTTTAATAAATAAAAAGATAATGACAATCATTTGTTTAATCAATTAATGACGTAAGGGTGGTAAGGGATTTCACATTTAGGCATACATACTTACCTACATATGTATCTTCATTCATAAGTCCATACACACATTTCAATCACAATACTCAAGACTCTTTCATAGTACCTATCAACACACATACATATTTATATATATTATATATGACGTGTAACGCTCAAATTTGAAACATTTTATATATTCAACTTATTCTCTTTATTGCCAATTCCTATGGTGACTTTATGGCGGCTGATCGGGAAAATGACAAGAAAAAATCGCGACTTGTGTCTTTTATGACTACGTCCGTATACAATAAATAAGCGCATCTTTAGTATTTAGGCCGATAGCCTCCGTTTCTATTAGTTGCCTTAGTCATGTAATGTAATAATTTATAATTATATTTCGAATAAATATATAAAGAAAATTGGTATTAAAAACTATTGAAAAATATTATTGTTCATCCCTGTAAACGACGGTTCAGTCACAATCCTAAACGGAGATATTTTTATAAAACGCCACGAGCGATGAAAAAGGCGATATGAGGCGAGACAAATAAGGCGACTTGCAAATGATTTCAAAACCGTCGCTTATGTATGAACAGGAGGATATATAAGTTTTAGTACGAAACCAAGGCTCTGAAAGAATGGACGATTTTCCTCAAGAGCACATTACTCCGTGCATATGAGGATGATATCGAATCAATTGCCTCGAAAACCGTTTTGTTAGTTAAACGGTCTCTATATTAGATTGCAAAGCGAAAGATCAAACGAAATACACATACATATCCTGTCATGAAAGACACATAGAGTATACTTGCCCCCGACATTCTCATCCCTATTGACAGCCATAACTTTCAAGAGGATGAATGATTAAGTGAGATAGGCGTTTGACTTCCTTTATATAATATTTCCTATTTGCATCTAAATTAATATGTGAAGTGCAGAAAACCTGTAAAAAAGCACACTACAATTACAGATTCTGGGGGATATTTGCTATACCTTCTGACAAAATTTGAAACTATCTTCTCTCGACCATCCTGTTCCACAGGAGCAACCTAAAGCTGGAGAACGGTTGGACATTCATATATACATAGAACTATATACATTATATATAATAAATCGAACGGCTTACTTATTATTCAGAAGGGGGAAGGAAACGGGAAGAACACTTGGAAGACATGTTATTTATATGAGATTCATTTTAAATACTGAATTTAAATACTGACCAGCCTTGGTCAGCGTAATAGTGATTAATGCTTAATATATTTTTCAAATTGAATTCAAATAATTATAAAGTTTAGTCACTTTTCAGGTGATATTGTAATAAAGAAAGTCTGCAAAATTATATAAATTTAACTAACAGTTATTTTTTAGTGCTAACAGTTATTTTTTAGTGCATATCTCATCTCTCTTATACAAAACAAATTGCGATGATAGCAACAATGCGTTACAGGCAATATTTCTTCTCTCTACTGCAGTGCGATATTTATGCCAGCTGTTCGTTCGACCATGTCAAAGAGCAATAGTTTCCCTGGTGGCACAATTTAGTGAGCTTCAACAGCTGTCACACAGATCACATGTAAGGAGTTGTTTATGAACGTTCTCAGAGATCAGGTGTGAAAATCATGCCTAAAACCGTTTCGCTGCCTACTGTACTGAAGATTTTTAATCCAATCGCTGCCATGTGGTTTGAAGAATTTTCTTGCTTTTCTCATCGTGATAGGGACAAAGCTAATGGGTGTGTTTAGGCGCTCTTAGAAGGCCATGCCGTCTTTCTACCCCATCGAATGATTGAAAATGATCAATAATCCTATTGAAATTGTGCTTTTTCCTTCCGTAAGTCCACTTCTACTCCTAAATCTTTCCGCTGTAGTAAACACAAATTTTTTTGGTTGTTGTCAGCTTTTATTCTTATGGCGGCATCAACCAGCTGGGCAGCGGCACCTTCCAATTAAGAGACGGAACAAACTATATGAAATCGCTTTTTTGATATTTTTATTTAAAATTTTTTATCTCCATTTTTGTTATAATTATCTGCATTTTAAATGTTTTCAACAAATTTTACTAGATCAATAAAACTCTTCGACCGTACTGATGCCTAACCTTAGCTTGTTTTTCAGTCTTAAAAAGAAATTCAAAATTATTCCAGTAATAAATGCACTTTTCTATGTTCAAAAATATCTTGATTAATTGATTGTATTTTTTCTATATTTTTAGTATTTACAGAGTTCCAACTAGCCAGTAGACGATGCACGACTCCCGATTATGTCACCGTTGTCACTGAATTGCCATAAAAGATGAAGCAGAAATTGGAAATGGAAATTGATTAAGTTGTAGTTTCATGCAATGTGTCGCAATATTTTTTATAATGTTTGTATGTATGTATGCATATATAACTCTCTACATAAATACATTTGCAATGATACACATTAACAATTACCTGGGTCAATAATGTCATGAAACAACGTGCGCGGATTTAGATATATTCATCATTTTGTTTTGTATAAGAGTTGATACAGATACATAAATTCATATAAAATTTGATTCCGCTTTCGCCAAAATTGGAAAAATAATTAGTTTAAGTCGAAAGAATTGAGAAAGCTTACAATTATATTAATATACTGAAAAGAAACTATGCAAAAGAATTCATTTTGCAGTCTACAATTTACAAGAATGAATCATTTTCGACGTCTAGCCAACAGCGCAATTGAACCGAGGGTTGTCAACCGAATCTCATAGGAAATAACAGTACTTTATAATTATGATCGTGTAGATGTTTGAGCCGGCATCTGAGTTGATTCCAATGGGAACAACTGAACTAAAAATAAAAAACTCATAGAATCCAAATGCTAAATACCACAAGCAAAGGAATAAACCAAAGGTAATCGAATCATAGTGATATTTTTCAGGAGTTTCTTCGGGAAATATGA